AAATAAACATACAAACAAAATGGACCCTTTGAAAATGAGCTCGAAAATAGAATTTTTAACTAATTGATGTATTGATTGATCAGCTTAATAAACAGTTTAATTGGCTATTCAGTTTCAGCTGAATGTTTTCTCTCATATTTCTGTGACTAAAACCAACATTAAAATATTCTTCTAGAAACCAGTAACAAGACACACCTTTTGAAGTTGAAATAGAAGACTGTATTGATTTTAAATGAATTTGAAAGGTTTGAATTCAAAACTCAGTCAAAACAACTGCAGTATCTTCCTCTACCATGTTTTCTATTATAGTTCTGTGACTAAAACAAGTATAAAAATGTTCTTATAAAAACAGTAACAAAAACATGAGGTTAATACAGAAGAGTGTATTCATTTTAAATTAATTAATTTATTAGTTTAAATTTCAATAGTGTGTTTTTTGGTGTCAAACTTCTGTGAAAACAACAAATATTAAAATGTTCTCACAAGGACCTGGAATAAGCCTACTGCATAACCACTAAATTATGGAATGATAATGATTTTTAATATTATTTTTATTTTATTCATATATTTATTAATAGTAATAATATAATAATAACCACTATCACATATCTTGTTTACAATATTTCTTATTTAAATTCAAGTGAGCGTTATAAGTGTTTGTCTTTATATCTTTCAAAGAGCTTGGTGCACTATTTGCTCTTGTTTTGTTAATTGTAAAAAACATTCCGGTGGGAAAACATTAATCGTTTTATCCTTTACATGTACTTTGTAGACGGTCCCTAGCTGGCTTTCAAAGAGCTTGGTGCACTGTTTGCTCTTGTTTTGTTTATTGTAAAAAACATTCCGGTGGGAAAACATTCATAGTTTTATCCTGTACATGCACTTTGTAGACGGTCCCTAGGGGCCTAAGCGCTAGCTCGGCGCTGCTAGAGACTTTATGCGTTTCAACATATAGAAGACGATTAAAACAAATAAACTGCGATGTGTGTTCAGTTCTACGTTCTAATGCTTTTCAGATAAGCCATTTTGTATACAATTATACTCATCCACTAAAAATGTATTGAAGTTTTTCGCGGCTGAATATCTGTCTAATATCCAACGTCAAACGTCGAACCAACGTTATATCGGTAATTGAACGCCTGTGGCGAGACGTCTGGCTCAGCGTAACTCAGCTATATTACGAAATACTTCACAGCCTTGAGGAAGATGGCTTGTTGGACTTGTCAGATTCCCTTCATCTGTTTTGTGCACATTATGTGTTCCTCCCACGTCTGAAGCGTGACCTCCACACATTTTCTGAAGGCTGGGACAATCATCCGTTACAGTCTGAAAATGGGCTCACCCCTAACCAGCTGTGGATAATGGGACACATGCACAACTCATCAGGTGACGATGAAGAGAATTTTCAGGGTTTTTTTTATTTATTGATTTTCTATGCCTGTAGTCATACTGTCAAATTGTGCTTTTGCATGATGCAGGAAGTAATTAGTTTTTTTCATTTAAGAATTTGGAACGGTTTGGAACAGACTGGGAGACGTTTGATAGTGTGACTGAAGATGATGATGTTGGAGTTCATGTTCCAGAAATTGAGTGCCCACTCACTTCTGCTCTGATGGAAACCGTAAAATCCATCTGTAATCCTCTCACAACATCTGACTGTTATGGCAGAGATATTTATATATCTTTGGTTCAATATTTTGAACGTCTGTAAAATACACAAACACCTGTGTTGAGACCATTGTAAAAATGTATTTTACAAATTGTATAAATTTTGAAAAGTGCAACTGTAACACAAAGCAGCACAATGAATGAATTGTATGCAAAGTAATTTGTAAATGAAAATTCAGAACAGTTAATGATTTTGTATTGCTTTAACATGAACATTTTTTTGAACAAATATTGTCAAAGATACAGTTTTACTTGTGCCAATAAACAGTGACTCAAAGAGAAGCTGAAAGTTGCTGTTTCAACATGCTTTCCCCATCAAATACATGTAAACATTATCAAATGACTCCCCATATTTCATGGCTATTCCCATTATGTTTTTAAATTCATTTAGTGTTTTCAGGTGAGCTGTAGGAAATGTAATTGTGCGAGTACATGCGCTTACAGTTGGAAAACACACAGTATGATTTGTGTCACAGTCGTGATTGAACTTCACAGTGATGTTGAAGTCCTTCTGGTCACTGGGAAGAATAGGCTTATGTCTCTGGCCTGTCATCCACTGCATAACTTTACCAGTAGTCATTTGTTCAGCTTCACCTTCTTAAAAACTTGCAGTGGAATGAAACCAAGATTAACAGAACTTTACGTATGTTGTGCCATTAAAATACATACCACAATCCTCAACTTCCTGTAGGAAATTCTGGAAAAAGTTCATTACATTTACTTCTTTGGTGTATTTCACAGAACCTTTGTCACTAAGGACAGGGTGGCAATTCTCCAGAATGAAGGCTGCATCCACCTTAAATAAAAGAGATAGTGTTAGCATTTCTATATGCATGTCCTCATTATGAAAACACCATAAGAACCACAATGGTTTACCCTGTCGTCATTTTCCCCTGGGACAAACAGTGGTAGACATAAGTCTGGATGCATTTCCATGACTTTTGGGAGATCGCAGAGCTGCAGGCCTTTTCGCAGCTGATCAAGCACTGGAACAACTCTCATAGTGGAGTGTAAAACAATGGCTCTAGAGGCAATTTAACGGTTTCATCAATACATATTTAAAACATTAAACAATATTTAAAAATATACAGAGTAACTAAATTTTGATGTACTAGATGATAAACTTGATGCTTTTGTTATTTACTGTACTAAATTTCATAAGATTACAAATACAGTTAAAATTAAAACAATTTTGTACTCCAAGGAGAATAAAAAGTATAGTGCACCTGATGATGTTGCTTTTCATGTCAGCAGACACTTTTCCAGTGTATCCACAGCTTAAAATCTCATCTGTAAGCTCACTCATGTCATCTGTTGAGTTAACCTAAATACAGAGAAATAGAATACAGTCTTATTGGCATCCCTTATTTACTTTTAAGAGTTAAACATTACTATATAAAATGTGCATATCTGGTTAATATTTTACCTTCTCAATGAGCAGGGAGAATTCCAAATCTGTGACGTCACTGGTTGTCACCTGTATACTGTCATAATCTCCAGAGCAAAGATATTGGAAACACCACTCGCGCAAAAAAACCGGCGGTGGTCCTCCTTGTGCTAGACTGACAGCCATAATTTCTCCTGCACTTCTAATACCACAGTGGATAAAACAAAACCTTAAATCAACCAAAAATAATGTTTATCAATGTGAAAAGTGTTAACTGATCAAATCTTGCATACCTGAAGTAGTTACGATCCAAGCTGTTGAGACAATAGACTGGATTTTTCCCTTTTTTATCTACACCATCGATAAACAGTCTTGTTTCAATCTCTGCAATCATTTCTAGACAACAACAAATACATCCTATTTAAAATCTGATCTGACAAAATGTCTGCTTTAAAATATAAAACATTTTATAATAAACTAAACTAGTTATACCTGTTAAGAACTCCTTGCTAAGAGCACCAGAGTCGACCCCTGATTCGCCAAAAAGGTAACCTTTAGTCTACCTTTCGGGGAAGATTTCTTCTGGCGCTGCCACTGCTGCATGCCTCTATTGAAGATGTCATTCCGAGAAACACAGATGGAAAAGGTGTTGTTTTGATCAACATTACTGCTGATCCAATTCAAAATCTCCCCAGAACTTTGTAATAGAAATAAACAGATATGAAACATGAAATGTACCAGCAAAGCGAAACAAACAGTTTCTTAATATATCATTTTTACCTTTGAAGTGTATTTATTGGGTCACTGAAGTTATCATCATATTCTGCAGTTCTGCACACAGACAAAAATAAAAAGTAAATGCTTTAATATTTAAAATGGCTGGATAGGAAAAGTTTAAATTATTAATATTAGATAAGTGACACTAAACTATTTTAGTAATTTACTGTAATCCACTGTTAAATGTTTTCTTGCAGTGGACACTCAGCAGTCTGATGTGACATTAAAATACTGAGTTAAATTATGCACAAACAATTGTTTAGGAACCATACATATACCATAAATTCATATTATTTAATACATAAATAGATAATAAATATCCTTTTCACCTTCTCTGTCCAGACTTCATTTATATTTGAATCACAGCTTTCAGTATCTGGTGACTTTTCCAATTCCTGAAACCATAAAAATGGTGTTTTCAGAGCTTATGAAATATAAACAAAAGATCAGTATGTCCCAAACATTTGGAGCAAAAACAACACACCTCTTTCCAATGTGTCAATAGAACTTGAATTATCTTGTGGGGAGTCTGACTCCATTGACTGGAAATTAAACAGAATCTCATCAACCTTGTTTTTAGAGCTCATTGGTGACTAAAATAAACACCTTAGACTTACATCATCACTTGAGGCACACAGATCCACATGTTCCATCTTACAGTGTTTTATATGTATTGGAAGGCACTGAAGAGGAACCATTTGGCTGCAGAGTGTACACTGGGCTTTAGGCATTTTTTCAAACTCTCTTGCATCAGGTGGTAATGGAGTTGTGTCAATTTGCTCTTGCAGAGGAACTACATACATTGTGCACTTTCCATTGCTGCTCACGGTTTTCAGCTGCTGTCCATTATATCCATCTGGGTCAGGAGGGATGACAATCAATTTCCGCTGCCCACCTTCACCTACGATTCAAAATACATAACGGAATATATGTAAATAGACAATCCACCAAAAATTTTTAACAGATAAAATCCATCCAATATCTATAAACACGTATGATTTTCAATTCACAAAAGTTTTAAGAGGTTAGGACAAAAATTCAAAACAATCCTACATACCTGAGCACTTGTGCAGCAACCATCCTCCGCAGATTTTTGCCAGTTTTGGATATGCATTAACAAGCACCTCTGATAGCTTAATTATCAAAGGCAGAGAAAAACAGAGTAAGGAAAGGCAGAGTAAGGAAATTCACCCAACACAAAAAAAAACAAGAAAAATAACATTATCGATCTTACCTCTGAATGAGTCATGTTTTCGGTTATAGTTAATGATCTTCTCCCAAGTCCTGCAAGTGTAAGCTGTAATTCTGTCTCTCCTTTGGGCGTTTTTTCATATTGTTGGTCAAGAAGGAAAAAAAATATCAAAAAGCTTTTCTCTGGCCGTTTATATGGTCCAAAATGTTTTTTACCCCTTACTTCCTTTCTAAAAAATCCAGGAAATGACCTAAAAAGGATTACATTTTTACTTTTGAGCCAGTTCAGAACATTGAGAACACTTACAGGCACACTTATACATGTGATGTAATGTTTTTTACACTGTAAAAACTGTATATTCCACATGTACACACACACACACACA